TGTCATGCTGCAGCTTGCACCGCTGTCAGCATACCAAATATCATTGGGCTCTACTTGATTATCGCACAAAATAAGTCCATAATCACTTGAACTTCCTTTTGAATCATGAAGATTTTTGGATTTATTTTTTTCATTAGCTAATCTTTTTCTACATTCGCGGCTCCAATGTCCAATTTTGTGACAATAGTGGCATTTAGTGTTCTTCTTGGCATCTTGAAAAGAACGTTGTGTATCTTTAGGCTTCGTTCGTGCTTGCCTGTGTAATAAGGCCTCATCTTGTTTAGAAGAACCGCTTTGTTGATTCCTTGTTTCTTCAATCAAAAGTCTTGCAGTTAAATTGTTAAGAGTTTGAGCTTTCGGATCTAACGATTCCCACGCTGCAACAAAGTAGCGCATACTCGAAGGCAAAGTATTTAAAATTTTTGCTACCTTTTGATCTTCCGTTATGGTTCCGCCCATTTGTGAAATTTGTGCAGAAATATTTTCAATTTTTGCTATGTAATCACTTATTGTTTCCGATGTCAATCGTGCATCGAAGAATTGTTGCCAAAGTAGGCCAATAGTAAATTCGGATTTTTGTTCATGAATAGCAAGTAATTTCTGCCACATTTGTGAAGCGGAAGTACAGTTCATCAGGGGCTGAAGAAACCTTAATTCGATTGCCTGTGATAATAACATCCTTGCCTTAACGTCCTTTGATTTCCAATTCTGTAGTGAACTTTCAGAGTTACTATCGGAGGAAACAACATTCGGCTTTATTTCTAAGCCTTCCAATAATTCTAGTAATTTTTGTTGTTCCAAAAGAAGCCTGAATTGGAATTTCCATAGCGAAAAGTTTTCACCATTAAAACTTTAATCCTTGAAAGACAATCTTCGCTCATCTTCTTTGTCTTGGAATCGGCCAACGACAAAAAGAAACTAGGGTTATGGTTGGCGGTTGACGCCTAAACTTCGAGCAAAACAAAGGCTTACTCACTGCTGGCGGTTAATCCTTTTAGGCGCAGTGGAAGCGTGCTGGGCCCATAACCTGTTGAAGTTTGAGATTGAATCAAGGAATAAAAAGATTATTTATTAAACAAAGTAACTTAAAACAAGATGTTAAAGTAGCAACATTTTAAAGGCAAATATATATAGGAAAGCAGAGACAAAGACTATATATATTGACGTCGACCGCAGCGCCGCCGCGGCCGTTGATTGGTCGAGCCCCCAATGCTTCACGCCAATTTTAAATCGCTATTCCAACAGTTCTATATATTTTATTGCTTAAAAAAGAACATAACAAACAAAAAGAAACTACAATTTCAAATGATTTGATAACTAATTAAGAAAAAAATAATAACAAAAAATTTAATATGTCTGACAGAAAAATGCTTCTAGGAATTAAAAAAAATAAGAATAATTACAAAATTAACATATAAACTTCAAACAGAATGTAAAGGTATTAATTTTTAGGCAGATTACTGTAAGTGTATCAACCCTATAAATAGTATAAGTTCTATAATAAGGGAGGTTTAAAAATAGTTTATCCTATTTTTTATGAGGGAATGGGGGTAAATTAAGGGATAAGGATGTAACATCATATGAACACATGGTAAAGCATTATTATTGTTGAAGTTCAGATACCTCCTGTATAAAGAGCGGAGTACTGGGGAGTGTGAAGCTATTATTGTGGTATTTTAATAATGAAAAATAAAACATGCCCAGTAATCTAGCTAAAGGAGCTGCTGGTGAAAGGTGTGGTAGGAATCCAAAATCTGAGCGCTAC